TTTCTTAAGTTTCTTTGCAATGTCACTGTCATGCTCAGACTTTAGATGTATGTCAGAACAATTGAAAGATATGTGGAAATCCAAGAACCTTGTTCCATTCATAAATGAACACTGATTAATTGCAATAAAGTAGTTAAATGATTCATGTGCAATTCCATTTTATTTATTTTTACATTAATAGAAAATGTTGATCAAAATGTTTGGTAAGTTCTTAATATATTATATTCAGGAACATAACCAGACCCATCTGTTGCATGTCTAATTTAAATTCAAATATTGTAAATTTGGGTGCAGCTCATGTCCAATATGACTAACATGTCCATCAAAACACTTAAGATGAAATAAATGGTTTGAGAGGTTGTATTACCTGAAAACATATTCATAGATGCTCAAGTTGTTTTTGATTGGCATTGTGGAATGACTCACAATCTTTTTACTGAATCCATCTACAGCTAAAACATGGGTGACTCCAAACATTACAAGTTTCTCGTTTTGGTCCAGGTGAACCTTGTGCCCCATGCATTCAGCATGGTACGGTGTGGGATTAAGATTCCGAGCTCCCTTACAAAAAATCACAAAAATAAATGACAGCTGACTGGATAAAGGCAGATTTGATCATACGTTTGAGGAAGAGTCAAGTAACTGTTAAAGCAGGGCGTACATCTGTTAAACAGAATTAGGCCCTACCATTACATGATGTATATCACAAATATGACAAAGAACATTGGAATACAGTTCTAGTGGAAGATTAAATAACATAGGCTACCTGGCGTCTTGCTTCATGATAAGGTTGATGCACCTCTCTTAAAATTGACCCAATTCGTCCCTCTGCAGCATGTACCCCTTTTGTGGACAGATAGCCCTTCATCATTTTGCGGCCATATGTTGGGCCCACCTGTTTAAAATAAAAGATCATGCTACTACTAGAACAACAAATGTAAAGTAGCTTATTCTGAAAGCAAATGTGTAAAGCTAAAGTATTGTGCTAATTAACTGTACAAATACCAGTGAGAGACATCTTTAAAATAACTAACGTTACCCACCACCCGCAAGACGCTAAAACGCGCGGGCGCGCGCACACAGTCTAGACTAACCCCCTTACAACCCAGTTAAGACAACCATACACAGTCATAAGGTGAAGGAAGAAAGTACCTTACCTCATTTATAGCTTGTGTCACCTCAAGCTCCAACCGTGTGTCCGAGAGTCGACAGCTAGTGATTTGCTCAGCACAAAACTTTCTAACATTTCTCGCAGAAAATCCTCTCACTTCCCCGTGTTCATATGACAGATGCTCTGATATAATTTCCGATGACAGGCCTTGTTTTGCCATCTCCATGATCACGTCTGAGTATTTTTCCAACGTCATGATGTCCACACTACAGTGTTTGCCATAAGTTTGCGCATCACTTGTACAGGTTGTTGACCTACTAAAACTTCCGGTTCAGACAAAATAAATAAAGGGCCCTTTCTCGTTCTTTTTCTTGGGTTTTTCGTTTCTGATGTGCGAAAGGACAAAATGAAAAAAACAATTGTTTTACGTTTTTCATTTTAGCTTTTTAAGTTGAGAATTAAATAAGTGTCTCATTTTCTTTTTTAAATTATACTTTCTGAAACGAAACTTCAAATACCGAAAAGTACACGGACCAATTAGAATGAAAACAACGGAATTGAATGTATAGAACAGATTTTGAATGAAAACAACAGAATTCTAAAACAAACAATAGAATTTGAATGAAAACAGAGGAATTTAAATGAAAACAACGGAATTTGAAAACAAACAACGGAATTAGAATGAAAACAACGGAATTTGAAAACAAACAACGGAATTTGAATGAAAACAACGGAATTAGAATGAACAGAACAGAATTTGAATCAAAACAAAGGAATTTGAATGAAAAGAACAGAATTTGAATGAAAACAATGGAAGTTTAAAACAAACAACAGAATTAGAATGAAAACAACGGAATTAGAATGTATAGAACAGAGTTTGAATGAAAGCAACAGAATTTTAACATAAACAATAGAATTTGAATAAAAAGAGTAGAATTATAATGAAAACAAAATAAATTGAATGAAAACAGAGGAATTTGAATGAAAACAACGGAATTAGAATGAAAAGAACAGAATTTGAATGAAAACAACGGAATGTGAATGAAAACAATGGAATTTAAATGAAAACAACAGAATTTGAAAACAAACAACGGAATTTGAATGAAAACAACGGAATTTGAAGGTATAGAACAGAGTTTGAATGAAAGCAACAGAATTCTAAAACAAACAATAGAATTTGAATAAAAAGAGTAGAATTAGAATGAAAACAACAGAATTTGAACGAAAACAACGGAATTAGAATGAAAACAACGGAATTTGAAAACAAACAACGGAATTTGAATGAAAACAACGGAATTAGAATGAACAGAACAGAATTTGAATCAAAACAATGGAATTTGAATGAAAAGAACAGAATTTGAATGAAAACAATGGAAGTTTAAAACAAACAACAGAATTAGAATGAAAACAACGGAATTAGAATGTATAGAACAAAGTTTGAATGAAAGCAACAGAATTTTAACATAAACAATAGAATTTGAATAAAAACAACAGAATTTGAGAACAAACAATGGAATTTGAATGAAAAGAACAGAATTTGAATGTATAGAACAAAGTTTGAATGAAAGCAACAGAATTTTAAAATAAACAATATAATTTGAATAAAAAGAGTAGAATTATAATGAAAACAAAATCAATTGAATGAAAACAGAGGAATTTCAATGAAAACAATGGAATTAGAATGAAAAGAACAGAATTTGAATGAAAACAACGGAATTTGAATGAAAACAACGGAATTAAAATGAAAACAACAGAATTTGAAAACAAACAATGGAATTAGAATGAAAACAACGGAATTTGAATGTATAGAACAGATTTTGAATGAAAGCAACAGAATTCTAAAACAAACAATAGAATTTGAATAAAAAGAGTAGAATTAGAATGAAAACAACAGAATTCTAAAACAAACAATAGAATTTGAATAAAAAGAGTAGAATTAGAATGAAAACAACGGAATTTGAATGAAAACAACGGAATTTGAATGAACAGAACAGAATTTGAATCAAAACAATGGAAGTTTAAAACAAACAACAGAATTAGAATGAAAACAACGGAATTATAATGTACAGAACAGAGTTTGAATGAAAGCAACAGAATTCTAAAACAAACAATAGAATTTGAATGAAAGCAACAGAATTCTAAAACAAACAATGGAATTAGAATGAAAACAAAAGAATTTGAATTAAGGGACGTGACAAATCGTCAGTATTTTACGTGTCGGGAGTGAGAACGGGCTGTGGGACTTGTAAATGACAAGGACCTGGTTTAATTTTGATATTTCACTGGAGTACATGGATTTGGTTGCATATATTGAGAAATTAATTTGTTATGACCTTGAAACAGAAAACCAAAACAAAATAACAATAATTATCTTATATCTCTTTTTATGAATAAATTTTATTAATCACTTCTCGTTACCCCATGTATACTACACGATGCATGACGCACGATCAAGGCGAAACTCGGGCCGATCACCAAAACGGTCGCACGACTGAAAAATCAGCTCAAAAATCACAGTGTATGCCCAGCATTACATTATGATCCATCGGCACGTGCGCGCTCTGTGTTTACGTCATTGTGCAGAATCTGTGTACCTGCTCTCATTTACTGTTTTAGCTGTTTGGTGGTTGTTGAAATTTATGAGGTTCAACCTGAGATTCTGGGCAAAATAGATTTATATTTAAAAATCAATTCAGGACTTTAATGAATTGATTTTAATCGGAAAATGGATCAACAAAACCACCCCTAACATGGAGCAACTGCATTTCTGCTTCCTCATATTATGTGGGTGTTCCACAGATGTGCAACTTGCTGCAGCTCTTCCTGTTAAATATTTAATATTTATCTTATATCAGCACAAAAACACATTTCTTTTGGCTCAACATGTCACCCAAGAGCACCGTATCAGTCAGAACAATAGAGTTTATCAAAAATACCCAACAACAAGAATAACAGTGGTAGATGCATAATATTGGGGAAAATTATTAATTATTTAACGTGAATTGTTTAAGTCAGCCTGATTTTATGTTTCTGGCCAATGAAATATGATTTTTTTTTCCTATTCTGAACACAATGATAATAAGCCTGGTTATCCTCTCTCTGTCTGTCTTTCTCTCAACCCCATATCAAGATATTTCGGTAAATGTCTCACAGTACTCTGCGTGACAACATAACCTGCCTGAATGCAGTTCAGGTGGTGTAGTTTATATCCATGGACCCTGCCGTGCCCCTCCAGTTGATCAATAAGAAATCCTGCCACCTCAGTCGGATCGGACTCTTTCTCCTGTACAGTCCCATGCGTTTTAGGTTTCTTCTACGTGTCCGCATGCTTATCACAGTACTGTCCAAGCTGGTCAATAACAGCAAGATCTCCCCATGCCTCAGTCCAAGCACAAAATAGAACTTAATGAATTCAGATAAACCAGCCATTTTCTCGCACTCTGATCTGCACTGTCATCCACTTCACTATGTTTTAAGGCAAACAAATATATTGTGTTTTAACAATAAAAGATATGCTATAACGTAAAAAACTTTATTGTTCAAACAATGTGATTATCACATTTTAACAATATAATTTTTATGTTGTTCAAACGTGAAAAATATATTGTTAGAACAAGTTTTCATGTTATAATGTGATATACCTCTATTTTTCTTTTGCTTGGGTGGCAGCTCTATGCTTCTGTAACCTGATCCAACAAAACTGAAGAACAACATTTTAGCCCTTTTAGGTTATTTATAAAGAAAGTCTGCCATATATCCATATATGTTCCCAACTTTCCAGTAATCACACGTGATACATTAATAGAAGGACATTTTATTTTTATAAAACATTCTTACATAATGACCAGCAACTTTTTTATATTCACTCTGAATTTCCATATGGGAACTATGGCACTGCACGTGTATAGTATCCACCAATAAAATCAGAGTAAAACTGTTCATAAGTCAATAAAAGTCAATAAAACATTTCCTACCCCTTAAATAATTGTATCAAACTTTATATAAACACAGTGCTCAAATAAATGCTTACAAAGACACATTAGAAAATAATGTAGTAGCATCATATAAGTTTTTTAAACCCTCAATATCCATAATTATTATGTGCATGTATTTTGATATTTACCAATTTTATATCTAAATGTATGTTATCTTATTGTTTACAAAGTAAGTTTTTCACAACTATTTTTCTTCCTATTTAAATGAATATGACTTGCAAAGAACAGATCAGAAATTATTATTATGTTTTTAATCCTGCCATAAAATGTTTGTGGCTCATATAATACAAATCATACACTTAATATTTCAAATACATCATCTGTAGACTGTTCAGTATTTCCAGGTTTGCAGTGGAAATCATTAACAGACAATAATTTGGTGAATTACTTTGAATTACTTTTACTTTCAAACGGAGAAGATTAATGTCCTTTTATGAGAGCACCACCTGCTGGGCACAATAGTAAAAACACTCAGTGTAAAAATATGGCTCTGATAATAAACACTAATGTTGGTGTCTTGCTGACACTGCTGCCTTTCCAGAGTCTAAAAATTAAAAATGACAGATTTCAGCAGCGATTTTGCATTTTGCTGCTTTGTTAATTGAAAAAACAAACAAACAAAAGTGGTGCTCTCTCTATCACTCGCTCTCTGGTCTGAGGCAACTGTAGGTCCTTTGTGATGTTCCATGTTTTATTTTATGTTCACTTTCAAACACTGGTATGAAACTCATGTGTTCTTCTCTGTTTTACTGCTGCACTGTTTAAAGTCATCAGGCTATGATGCATTTATGTTTTTGTTTATATTTGTTAATTTTTTCTTCATGCTTTTTCTGCATTTCCTCCAATTCTTTCTTCAGTCTTTCTTCTTTGTCACTGGAGACCTTGTGCAAATGAGAATACTCATGTTTGTGTTTCTCATGCTTTTGCATCAACATCTTATATGTTTCCTTCAGATCCCTTATCTCATCATTATATTTCTCTATCAGAGATTCAAAGTCACTGGTGTATTTCTCTTTGAAGTCATTGAGCTCTTCAGCTTGATTTCTGGCCTCGTCTTCATGTTTCTGCTTCATTTGTTTCATTTTTTTCTTGTTGTCATTCTCTAATTCTCTTCTTTTTCTTTCCTCCTGTTCTATTCTGACACTGTCATCTTTTATTCTTCTGTGATAATCTTCTTTTTCCTTTTCATATTTTTCTGTCAGCTTTTTGATTTTCTTATCTTCTGCTTCTCGTCTCTGTTTACTTTCTTGATACTTATTGTCCCACCAGTCTTTCCTTTCCATCTCCCAGGCCTCTCTCTCTCTTCTCATTTCTTCTCTGTTTTGCTCCAGCTCTCTGATGAGCTCTTCCTTTGATTCGGATTCTATTTGCTTCTCCAAAGTTTCCAGTTTTAGTTTCCATTGTTGTCGTTGAGTTTCTTCCTCTTCTTTCCTCTTTCTGTTTTCATCTTCTCTGATTTTCCGTTCTCTCTCTCTCTCTTCTCGCTCCTGGTTAATGCGTTCCTCCATCTGCTTGAGTTTTTTCAAGCTCTGCTCTTTCTCAGACTCAAATTTAGAGATCTGTTCTTCCATTTGTCTTTTTACTTTTTGCATTTCTCCTTCATGTTTCCTTTTAAGCACCTCCCTCTCTCTCATCATGTCTTCATCCTTCTGTTTCAGCAGCCTCTCCATCTCCTTCTGTATCGCTGCCTCAGCCTCTTGGAACATCTCAGTGGTGTAGTATCCGCCATAATTGTCTTTCAACATGGCTTCAATTTTCATCAGCAGGTCTGACACTTGTCTACGGTTTTTTGGATCTTTGTTGTTGAAGACGTGGTATCTGCCTCCACAGTCATCAATCAGAGTTTTTACAAAATCAGAACAGTCTTCTTCTATGTAACTTTCAATAGTGTCTTCAAGCTCATCTTCTTTGGTGAAGGTAACAATGATGAAGTTTCCTGACTTCTTTCCAAAAATCTCTTTGATCTTTTTCACAGTTTCTTTCTCCTCCTCTGTAAATCGACCGATCTGCAGCACCAGTAAGAACACGTGAGGTCCAGGAGACAACATGCTGATACAGTTCAGAAGCTCTTGTCGAACTTCATAACTGGACAGAGTCGTGTCAAACAAGCCGGGGGTGTCGACCACAACAACAGGACATCCATCAATCTCTCCTGCTGCTTTCTGACATTCTCTGGTCACAGAAATCTGACTGACTTTAGATAAAAACACCTTTTTGCCCAAAATGGTGTTTGCAGTTGCACTTTTCCCACTGCCAGTTTTTCCGAGCAGCACCATCCTGATGGACTGTTCAGTTTGATGTGCATCATCAGATGAAGCCACACTGCTGTGTTTAACTTCCTGAAGTTCAGCTTTAAGTCTTGTTACCTTCTCCATTTGAGCTTTGGTGAACATTTCTTTTGTGAAGCACTTGGATCCTTTAGCTTTCATCTTATCCACTTCATGCAGAAGCTTTGCAATCATTCGCTTTTCTTTGATGTTGAGAACAACATATTGTCCTCTGTAAGTCTGATGGAGCTTCTGAATGTCCTTGTCTTGTCTTACAAAGTTACCAACAGCTGGATCTGTAGGATCTGACTTGACAGTGAACAGAATCATGGTGAAGTCATCGACTCTAGAGCTGAATGTGTTCTGGATGGTCTCTAACTCTCCCTTGTCTTCATCAGTGAGGGGACCCACAGGTAGGATCAGGATGAAGGCATGGACACCCTCAGGATCACAGAGGGAGATACACCTGAGTGATTCCTCCATCACTGCCTCCTGAGGTTTTCCATACAAGGCAGGCAGCTCCACCAGGGAAACCCAACGTCCACACACCTCTCCCTGATGTTTAACACACTCTGATGAGTTGGAGGCTGAATGAAGCTCAGTCTGACCTAAAATGGCCTTGGCTGCTGACGTCTTCACTGCTCCTCTCCTCCCACACAGAACCAGGTTTAAAGATGGTTTGATGAGTTCAGATTTTATTCTTCTTATCCCTTCAGGTGGTTTGATGTGTTCAGACTTTGGTCTGATGGTCTCTTCAGTGACTGTGAGGAATTTTCCTTTGTTCTCATGCACGATGTTCTCAATCTTCTCCATCAACTGTCTGTGATCATTTTCAAACATGTTGTAGTGTCTACCTTCACAATCTCTAAGGAGAGAATTAACAGAAAAACGCATCTCCTCCTCATCTGTGATGATGACCATTGAGTGTTTAAAGGCATCTCCATTAAACACACTCAGGGTCAAACTGAGAGTTCTTCTGCTGTGCGTAGTGAAATCAGAAGGTTTCACCATCAGCAGCAGAACATTTGGTCCAGGAGGACAGAGACTCACACAGCTCTTCATCTCTTCTCTCGCTGCTTTCAGAGACGGATTTAAGAAGTCAGGAGTTTTCACTACTGTTAAAGGTTTTCCTCTCCACTCTCCATGGAAAACTTGTCTGTCTGGAGAAAATCCTGAAAAATCGTAGTTTTTCTTCACAATAAAGTTACAGAGTGCTGTCTTCTTTGCTGAGTTTCCTCCAAACAGCAAAATGCAGAGTCTACGTCCTGTAAAGGAGCAAAGATACAAACAGGAAATTACTCTCAGACAGTCTGACTGATCCTAAAAGCCTTTTGGTCTTTCTTCACTTTTTCCATCTTCAGTAAATGCTGCTTCATGTTCTTGGTGGATCGTTCCTTCTGAGCACTTTAGAAAGTGTCTTTATGTTAAAATATCTACAGATATAGTTTGGGGTTTTTTTACTTACCAACAGGCTGAGGATCATTCAGAGTAACAGGAGCTTCTTTTCTTTGTTCAGCGCTGGTGTGCTGACAGGTCACATGTGTTCCATTGTTCATTTCTACAATGCGTTCCATGTTTTCTAGTAACTCCCGAATGTTGAGGTTTTCAAGCTGAAGTGACTTGTTATTACACAGTCTGATCATTTCCTGTAAATGTGTATGATACATGACACTATGCCGTAAACCCAGACGCCTCAATCTGGGTGGTGATATCAGAACCAGTGAATGATCAAAGGAATGATCACTGAAGAAGTTCAGGACTCTGCAGAGTCTCGTTTTTTGATGCTCTTTGAAGTCTTCAGGCTGTAGAACCAGCAGGAACACATGAGGTCCAGGATCAGAGAGCCTCACACAGTTTTTCACATGTTCCTTTAATTTGTCCTCAGAGATGGTTGGATGAAGCAGATCTGGAGTGTTGATGAGAAATATTTCTTTCCCTTGACTGTGTCCACTGACTCTCACACATCGGTCCAGTTCTTCCTCAGGGTTGAACTTGTTCTCTCTCAGTATAACGTTCCCCACTGAGCTCCTCTCAGACCAGCTGTTCCCCAGCAGGACAGCTCTGAGCTCAGACACTGAAACGACAGCAAACACAAACACTGAACAAAGAATCTTTCAAAGTTAATACAAGCAGAAACAGCATTATATCATAGGTTTCAATTAATCTAATTTTAATGATTTTCCATTTGTAACCACTGAGTTGTAATTATTGAAAAATGTGCAAAAATTGTCAGTTTGTTTAAATATGTGTTATTTTTTTCTAGTATTTATGGATCATTACTGAGCCATAGATATATATTCACATGTGAGAATACTACATAAAGTTTGAGAGCTGAAAAATGTCATGGTCCCTGTGTCTCCCCGGCCAGCCCAATGTGGCCACAAGTGTTTGTTGTTTTGCTCTCCTTGCTCTCTCTCTCTCGTCTGTCTGCCTGGGCGGAGCTCAGATTAGGCTCCCGCCCTTGGGATACGCACCTGCATCTGATCACCGGTGATTTGCAGTTTGATCTCTGACTCTTCTTAAGGCGGGGGCTCTGAGCTACTCGTCGCTGGAATGTTGAGTAACTCTCGTTAGTATTGCCTGGCTTCATTGCGATTCTGTTGACCCGTGCTTGCCTTGGATTAATCCTCGTCTCTGTAAATAGGTATTTCTGGCTCTGCCCTCATTGTGACCCCTGGACACCGTGGGTGAGAGTGGAGCTGCTTGTGTGGAGATCAGGAGTGATTTTAGCCCATTTTTGGGGGGTGCTGAATGAATCAAAGCACCCCCAAAGATTTCTTACTTTTTTGACATTATTTGCTGTTTGTGTGACACACTACTAAAAATATAAAAAGCATACAGTACTTGGTTGAGATGTAACATTTTAACAACAAAAGTATAGATCCCTCCCATAATGGTTGGTTCCAGCTCGCCTCTCCCCTGCTCTGACTCTAGCGCTCTTGCTGCCAGAGCGATGGTGGCTGAGAGCAGCGGTGTGGAGGTCTGGTTTAAAACAGGACATCTTAGCTGCATTTAACCTTCAGTTACTCTTTATATAGTTGGTAGGAGTCAGACCATGTTTCTTTGTAGCTGAAAAACATTACATCAGGTAACCTGCAGTGTGGAGAGCGGAGCCAGTACGAAGGCGTGTGTTTCCCAACCTGCTGACCCCCAGAACCCTGGTCTACCCCCCCCCCCCCCCCCCCATGTGTAAATAGCGCGCACGCGCATGTTTTGTTTTCAAGCTCCATTGCAGTTTATTTCACACCTTAAACATTTAGTAAACCATTAAACTGCAATAAATTACAGGTAGCAATAACTGCTAACTCTTTTACACATCGCCAACACCTACACGTGTATTTTTGAAAACGCAGCTTTTTCTATGCGTTTGGACCTCTCGCCCACACGTAAACGGCGTTTTTGACTATCTTCAGTTTTTACACGCTTGCATACACACACGCAGTTACTGTCCCTCCACAGAGGCGTCACGGTGTAATTATTTTACATGTAGTTGTTTTTTTCCTGTGCAATAATATTCAGCATTGCTAACAATAATTTGTTTTTCAAAAAATTCCTCTGTGCAAAATGGGTTCATAAACAACTGTGGGATACTGTTTGTCTGTGGTTTGGACTGGGGGAACAATTAGTGGCAGGATCAGCCTGATATTATTTGTATCCCACAGTAACTTTACTGTACAAAGAGCTAACAGCCAGCCGGACCTAACCCAGCGGTTCATGGTGGAGATGGATGCATCAGAGTCGGGGCCGTGCTTTCTCAATGGTTTGAGGGTAAGCTCCACCCCTGTACCTTTTTCTCTTGTTGACTCGCCCCAGCCGAGAAGAATTATGACATTGGAGATCGCCAACTGCTGGCCATAAAACTTGCTCTAGAGGAGTGGAGAGACTGGCTGGAGGGGCCGCACAGCAGTTTATCGTATGGACTGATCATAAAAACCTAGAGTACATCCGCTCGGCGAAGCGACTCAACTCACGGCAGGCCAGGTGGGCTTTGTTTTTCACCCAGTTTAATTTCACTATCACTTACAGGCCAGGCTCCCAAAATGTTAAACCAGACGCTCTATCCTGGCAATTTGCCTTAGTTGGATAGGAATCCGACCCTGGATCTGTTCTGCCCGCTTCCTGTATTATCGGAGCCGTTACGTGGGAGATTGAAGAGCTCATCCAGGAGGTGCAAGAGACCAATCCTGATCCCGGAGCAGGCCCCCCCGATCGACTCTTTGTTCTGGTGGCTGTCCGATTCTGAGTGCTCCAGTGGGTTCACACAGCCCGTTTCTCCTGCCATCCGGGAGTTTACCGCACTACTGCAATCCTGCAAAGGTATTTCTGGTGGCCCACCATCAAAGACTCACGGGAGTATGTAACTGCCTGCATCACTTGTGCTCAATATAAGTACTCCAGTCAACACCCATCTGGACATCTGCAGCCACTCACCACACCTGGGCGACCTTGGTCCCACATCTTTCTGGATTTTGTCACTGGTCTGCTGCAATCTGCAGGTAACACTACAATAATGACCATTGTTGACTGGCTCCATGGCATCCCTGAGGACATTGTCTTGGACCGGGGCCCTCAGTTCATGTGGCGGGTGTGGAAGAGTTTTGCTCTACCATAGGACCCAAGGTCAGCCTCTCCTCCGGCTTCGACCCACAAAGCAACGGCCAAACGGAGCGCATCAATGAAGATTTGACACAGCCCTCCGCTGTGTCACCTCTCATAATCAGGCCATCTGGAGCGAACACCTGCCATGGATAGGGTATGCTCACAACAGTCACACATCCTCTGCATCTGGTGTGTCACCCTTCAAAGTGTCTTTTAGGATACCAACCACCTCTGTTTCCCAAAGTTGACGGTGAGCATACTGTTCCTTCTGTCCAACATCATCTTCGCAGGTGTAGCAGGTGTCACAGGGCCTGGCGGGCCACTCGGGCAGCGTTACTCCGGACCAAGGAACGTAATAAAGCACTCGCGGATCGCCACCAGACAGCCGCCCCTGAGTATGTGGTGGGGCAGAAGGTATGGGTCTCCAGTCGATACGTGCCGAATCTAAGAAACTCTCCCCCAACTTCATTGGCCCATTTGAAATCAGTGCTATAATCAACCCTGCATCTGTCTGACTGAAACTGCCACGCAATATATTCATGATGTATTCCATGTCTCTCAGGTCAAGCCAGTGCTCTCCAGCCCATTATGCCCTCCTTCCAGGCCCCGCCGCCCCCTGGCTCGTGGATGGCCAGCTGGTGATTAATCCTCATCTCTGTAAATAGGTTTCTCTGGACCTGCCCGCATTGTGAACCTGGACACCGTGAGTGAGAGTGGAGCTGATTGTGTGGACGAGGAGCGGAGCCAGTATGAAGGCGTGTATTTTCCCCAACCTGTTGACCCCCGGAACCCTGGGCTACCCCCCCCCCCCCTTCATGTGTATATAGCGCACCAGTGTGGTTAATAAAGAACTTTGAACCGTGTTCTCTCAGTCTGCGCCTGAGTCCGATCCACCGCTGTGACAATAAATAAATGTACCCTCTGATAAAAGCTCAGTTTTAAATCCACAGTGTCATAATCTGAAGACCTATTTTTTTTCCTTGTTCAGCACAGTTTTCTTTCCTACAGTCTCTTTTGAAAATTGCACCAACTTCATGTCTGTGGCATAGAGCTACATAAACAAGCACTGGCATCCTGAATGTTTGATCTGTTAACATGAAGTTAAGGAGACATTTGATATGCTGTAACCTCTCCCAGAAATGACCCACAAAAGTTTACATAAAATAGTTTTCTTCACTTTTAACTCACTGTAGGGTGGCAGAAGTTCGATGCTGTTCCTGCGACGTCTGGGAAAAGCGTCTTGTGGTCCTGCAAAGATAAAGAAATACATAACTCTCCTTTCATTATTATTAGTAGTAGTTTATGCACTGATATGTAATGTGTTATCCTGCAATGACTACATCAGATGGAACAAAGCACTTTTAATGTCAACGGCTGTCTGTATGAACAGATCACATTAATTCTGGGAAACTGTCGTCTCGTCTCTGTATGTACTGAACTGTATATAGCAGAGGAAACAAAGTTTACTTTGAAAGATTATTAAATGTGACTTTTAATTTTCAGAAAATACATTCTGACAAATGTTATTGGTTAAATGCATTGTTAAAGCATGTTACATGCAACACAGCATCCAGCCTGGTTCAGCAAAGACACTCAGATGAGACCTGCTGTAAAATATTCACCTGTAGTCACATCGTTTATCCTCCAATCAGACAAATTTCAGATTTCAGCAACAAGGAGAAACCAAGAAACAAATTACTGTCAAACGGTGCTTGTAGAGGGAGGTAACCCACAGGTACTGCATGTAAGTGTGACAAAGTAAGACTCACCAGATGCTGCTGCCATGCTGTCATTCAGCTGCAGAACTCACTGTGGAGTTGAAAAGAAAAAAAGAACAATGTTCTAAATATTCACAACAAAGTGAGCAAAATCTTCTGTCTTCAGAAGCGTGACTGCATTTAAAATGTTGCAGAACAGAGCATGCTCATGAGAACAGGTCCCGAGGTGTCCCATGAGAACGCAAAATGTTACCTTCCGTGTCCCTATGATACGTGTGGATGGAATCCAATAGGTTGATGCTCCTGGTGGTAACACGTGTATTCCAGCCTTAACCCTAATTATAACCATAATCGCTAACTTTAACCACAACTGTGTTAAGATAGTGTTTTCCAAAGTGATTCATGATGGGAAAGTAAAATAAATGTACATGTGTAGATTCAGTACAAACTGTTCTCATGTTCCTCCTGTTTCTGAACGCGTAACATAGGAAAGTGTTGGGTGGCCAAAAGCATAACATACAGACGATTTGTCACATAGCGGAGTATGTTACGCTTTGGGAGTGAGAACATGTTGGGCAGAGAGTACATTTCAGGCTGTTGTTCACTTTTAAGGTTTCAGTGCTGGTTTGATCGTAGTTCACAAGTTTTCGGTGCATTTAATGCTTCCTAGTAAATCTTGAATGTTTCAGTAGTTTCAGTAAATATTCTAAATCTTCTCATCCTTTCCTTTGGGGAAATAATTTAACACCATCCTGAAAGTTTGCTTCCCTCTGCCATCTCTGGTCACATGGTTCAGATTTTATTCATTCAGATCAAAAACATTATTATTGCAAAGTGTGACTGAGTGTGGTTAGATGTGTCTCTGGGGAAATTTCAATCCAGCAAGGTGAATAATCAAACCATCGCAGTAATATCTGTACCTGTCTGCCAGAGAAGTTGTTGATTGAGTAACATGTGTGTGTCAGCAATCACTCTGGAGTTCGATAAAGATTCAATCAAACTCTGTAATCACTCATCTGTCAGCTTTCCTGGTGTTTGGGCTGCTCGTCTGTTCTTATGTCTGTCTAAGTTCTCAGTCATCCAGTTCATGGTAGACTAAGGAGCTTGGAAAGGAGGTGACTGGGTTTCTTTAAGTCTTCATGCTTATTACACAAGTCTATTCTTTACATCACTTCTACTTTTCCATGTTTTCAGATTTAATTCTGTCATCCATCCATCCATCCAATTTTCTTGCTCACCTTCTGCAAGCCGGTCAGATTCTGTTCTGTGTGCTTTAAATATCTGTTCTCGTCTTTCAGTCTTCCTTTCAAACTCATTTATGCAGCACGCTTCCTCCCAGTCTCCGCTTCACCTTTGTCATTCGGAGCGTCGTCCGAACCTCCATCTTTGTGTCCAGCACCACCAGCATCTAGACTCTGGGTCTGTCCTCATTCCAATTATTGCGAACCATCTGCTATGATGGATCATGGAAGCCTATTCCATCTCAGCATGTAGTCAGGTTCTAGAGAGTCTTTAATGTTATTCAGGTGTGTTGCAGCAGGGACACAAAAGTTTCAGGACACAGGCCCGCGAGGACTGGAGTTTGAGACCCCTGCCAAAGACCGGAAAACCACCCCCACCCTCACCACCCCTCCTTTGTGGGGTTTTGGAGTCTCAGGGCGTTTGTGTGTATTACTTCTTATTTTATTTTGATATTGTCCTGTCCCATGTGTGCCGTGTTCAGTTTCCCACACACAGGGAAAGATTAAACCTTTCATTATACTTTTATTTGTATTCAGATTTTGACATTTAAACCATCTAAGTGTGATAGTCCGAGTGAGCTGCTGGTAGTTTTCCACTGAGCTCCAGATTCTCCTGTGCCCGCCCCTGGGCGGAGCTGTCATCTCCTCACCTGCCCAACTTACCTGGAGTTAATCTAGCGCAATCTACTGAGAATATTTAAGACCAGCGTCTTCATTGCTTGTTTGTCACTTTACCCACATTGGTAAATGTCTCTCATGCTACATGCTTCTAGTCTAAGTCTATGTACCCACCTTGCTTTTCTTGTGCTACAGCTCTCTGGTCACAGCACCTGTTTCACGCTCTGACTCCTGGGAAGGATTTCAGTATGGCACCTGCCTGCCCTCTTGCCACTGTTTTGCACTGGATCCCTTTTAACTCAGGTCAGCTCAGCATCGCTCTCTTCAGCTCACCCGGACCTTCAGCTGCTCCTCAAAGTGTCGCCAACTCTGCCTGCAACATGAGTCATATTCCTCTTTCAAATTCATTCAAGCCTGGAGAAGTTTCATACCCACGCTAATCACCCACTCCTCTGTCCACAGTTACAGCTTTAGATCTCCACACTACGAGTCGTGTTCAAACATCAAGCCCTGAATCCCTCACCAAGTTTATTCCTTTGCTTAAACTTGGAAATAAAGTTTGAAAATTGCTCTGCTGTCTCCACAGTCACATATTGGGCCCTTTTGACACTAAGCTTCTGAGCTCTAAGTTGTTTTGCAGTGTGTACAGACACATTTGTGTTCACCTGTCCTGATAAAACACCTGGTCGCTGTGTCATCAAATACATGCTCAGCTGCATCTGCATGCACATCCAACAGCAATGTCGAGTACCCCTGACCATCACTGCTGAGGTCATAAATAAAACCTCCAGATTTGCATATACGAGAACTCTGAGAGTCAGGTTACTCTAATATTTGCTCCCACCAAGCTTAGAGGCTTTACTTGATGAGTTTGCGTCTGTTCAAATTAAACAAGGTAACAAGAAGTCTGTGTTTATCTGTACACAGTGGATGTTATCTACTCTGTGGTCAATGTTCACTTGTTTCAAACGTTATCATTTTCTTCTTTGTGCATGCTGTTACTCATCGACTCACAGGACATGATACACATCACATTTACTTTATATCTAACTGCAGGTCAAAGGTCGGCTTTATAAATATCAATGTGAGTTAATTATTTAAAAAGGCCCTTTCTGATTATTCTCTGCTATCAGTTTTATGTTCCTAGATAATCTGAGACTAAGACTTATGAACCTTTTTAAAGATTAATACAAAAGTTTCAGACTTTGATGCAGACGAGAAAATAACAGCTACGGTCACAAAAATAAAATACTTGAATACATAAAAAGAAAATACATCAGGTTATGATGTCATACAAGTTGGGTTTTTTGTTTTTTCCTACAGACTAACAGGAGGTCATACAGGTCACAGTGAGTATTACATTACTGTTACTCAGCTGTATTCCACGTATCGTATTTATTACTCTGATGTCCACAAACTGATGAAAAGAAGGAAAGCATCCATAACTGTGATTTTAAAAAAAAACACACCAGATGGGACATGACTGTCTGAAACTTTCTGAAAACCAAATGTTATTTGACGGCTCCTGGTTATTAACATGAATAGAAGCTGCACTAATACACACAGATCTACATTTACAAAGTTAATATTCTTACAGTTAAATATTATACTTTTATTAATGAATTTTTTATTGCTCCTAACATTATGGCTGCAATTAAATTCATCGTCCCTGGACTTTAGACTCTCCGCTCTTGAACAACAATGCACTGCCCGGCTGGATTAAAAGCGTTACTTTGTTAAAATCTGAACAAATTTAAAACAGACGAACTTTTTGACATAAAATTAAAAAAAAAAATCATTTCACTGGATTTTTGTCTTTGAGATCAAACGTAACAAACAGAACCGCAGAGATCCTGCAATCTGTGCATGGACTGATTTTAGTTCTTATTATTGATCAGGTCATCCTGCAGATCTTACCTGAGCTGTGTGTCTGTGGCATCACTGTGCTGGGAGCAGAATTCATGCTGACTCTTCAGGTCTTTTAGCTAAAAACAGTCGTCTTTTGTTATTCCACACGTTTCATGCGACATCTCTTCAAGGTGAAAGCTCACCTGTAACAAAGTCGTCTCAGCAGAGTGGGCGGGAGTCTCACTGCTGACATCAGCGTGACATCACTGAAACACCTGAACACCTGAGTCAATGTTAACCTGCAACGCGATCGTGGCTCAAGAGTTGGCAGTTTGTCTTGAAATCAGAAGATTGCCGGTTCGAGCCCCGGCTCCGACAATCTCGGTCGTTGTGTCCTTGGGCAAGACACTTCACCCGTTGCCTACTGGTGGTCAGAGGGCCCGGTGGCGCCAGTGTCCGGCAGCCTCGCCTCTGTCAGTGCGCCCCAGGGTGGCTGTGGCTACAATGTAGCTGCCATCACACCAGTGTGTGAATGACTGAATGTAGTGTGAAATGCTTTGAGGTCCTTAGGGACTAACTAAAGCGCTATACAAATACAGAACATTTACTATTTAATACCTCAAAGAAAACTAAGACTGAGAAAATTTACAAGTGAATAAAAACTGGTTTCTGTTAGATGAGGAGAACAACCTCTCCTGGTTAATTCCTGAATTGTAGTCTGTAAATGTGCAAAGTTACATTCAACCACTGAATCTATCAGACTCTCATACGACAGTAGGAGTGTAGATGGAGCACAGAAACAATTCTTCCTTATTTAAGTTTATATTTAATTTCCAACTGAGGATATAAAATATTCACAGTATGCTTGGTGAATTGGCACTGAACTCAATTTTATTACTGAAATTTGTAAGAATGCTGCCATGGGAGTGAAAAGTCATTTAGGGGATCCAACAGCAGTGTGCTAATGTATGTGCAAATATGCAGTCAGATCATTTTAATAAATTCCTGCCAGGAGCAGCGCAAATTAGCAGCTCAAAGACGAGCACTGATGAAGGCGTGTGAGGGACAGATTGATGTCCTAAAAATAAAAATAGAGTGTAAGTGTAGGTTTTACATGTATTTCTCTCCTAGTAGTGTGGCAGTTAAGAAGAGTAAGAGGAGGCTGAAGAAGGTTTCTATAAAAGTGAACTCTGTTAAGGTCCTGAGGACTTAGACTCAGGTGGAGCTCAGGATTTATCCAGAGGAGAGCTGCATTATTAAAAACAAGCCTGTGTGGAATAGCTGATCTGTGCAGTGTGTGGAAGAGTTATTTACCATCAGATCCTGAATTGTCTGTGTGTTCATTAACATACCGTCAGGTCGCTCTTGTTAACAGCTGGAATTTGGCAGATGTTTATATACAGTGTGTATGGCTCTGAGAGGGAGAAATAAAATCAATTTAAAAAAACATGAAAATCTGAGCGTGCACACTGCTGGAAAAATACATCCAGAGACCTGTCTGTCTGTCCTGCACTCTCTCTGTTTCTTTCTCTCTGATTGTGGAGTAAAAGTATGAACGTGTGTTTATAAGTTACACTTGCGTTTGAATCCTGCAGCTTATCACACGTTTGATTTCCATGTGTGACGACTGCAAGTGTCCAGAGTGAGGACAGACTGAGGGACACACTGCTGCACATCATCTGTGAGGCTTTGCACCCCTGATGATCCACCAGGACAAACTCAGCAGTGTGTGAGGAAGAGGAGGAGGAAGAGCCAGCAGCAGCTGACAGATGGAGAGAATAGACAGACTGTTCCCTGTTTGTGAAGGACTGCTAGGAAAGTTTAACATAACTGTCTGTGCTGAATCAGTCTTATTAGGTAATGTTCAAATAATGTGATCCTCCCAGTGTTTCCAGTGTGGGAGAAAGTACTCAGGGCCTTCAAGTTACACACTATGAAAGGCAGCAACAAGTTTAATGTTCAGAAACCTAAAGTATGTATCAGCAGCAGGATGGAGCTAAAAATAAATGTTGGTTTCAGTTCTATGAAGCTTTGAGTATTTTGGATCAGTAGCACTGCTGTGTTTGTTGCATCATATTGCTGTAACTGTTTATATGCTTTATATATTCTGAGCTAAGTTGATCTATACAGGGAGTGCAGAATTATTAGGCAAGTTGTATTTCTGAGGAATAATTTTATTATTGAACAACAACCATGTTCTCAATGAACCCAAAAAACTCATTAATATCAAAGCTGAATGTTTTTGGAAGTAGTTTTTAGTTTGTTTTTAGTTTTAGCTATTTAGGGGGATATCTGTGTGTGCAGGTGACTATTACTGTGCAGAATTATTAGGCAACTTAACAAAAAACGAATATATACCCATTTCAATTATTTATTTTTACCAGTGAAACCAATATAACATCTCCACATTCACAAATATACATTTCTGACATTCAAAAACAAAACAAAAACAAATCAGCGACCAATATAGCCACCTTTCTTTGCAAGGACACTCAAAAGCCTGCCATCCATGGATTCTGTCAGTGTTTTGATCTGTTCACCATCAACATTGTGTGCAGCAGCAACCACAGCCTCCCAGACACTGTTCAGAGAGGTGTACTGTTTCCCCTCCTTGTAAATCTCACATTTGATGATGGACCACAGGTTCTCAATGGGGTTCAGATCAGGTGAACAAGGAGGCCATGTCATTAGTTTTTCTTCTTTTATACCCTTTCTTGCCAGCCACGCTGTGGAGTACTTGGACGCGTGTGATGGAGCATTGTCCTGCATGGAAATCATGTTTTTCTTGAAGGATGCAGACTTCTTCCTGTACCACTGCTTGAAGAAGGTGTCTTCCAGAAACTGGCAGTAGGACTGGGAGTTGAGCTTGACTCCATCCTCAACCCGAAAAGGCCCCACAAGCTCATCTTTGATGATACCAGCCCAAACCAGTACTCCACCTCCACCTTGCTGGCGTCTGAGTGGGACTGGAGCTCTCTGCCCTTTACCAATCCAGCCACGGGCCCATCCATCTGGCCCATCAAGACTCACTCTCATTTCATCAGTCCATAAAACCTTAGAAAAACCAGTCTTGAGATATTTCTTGGCCCAGTCTTGACGTTTCAGCTTGTGTGTCTTGTTCAGTGGTGCTCGTCTTTCAGCCTTTCTTACCTTGGCCATGTCTCTGAGTATTGCACACCTTGTGCTTTTGGGCACTCCAGTGATGTTGCAGCTCTGAAATATGGCCAAACTGGTGGCAAGTGGCATCTTGGCAGCTGCACGCTTGACTTTTCTCAGTTCATGGGCAGTTATTTTGCGCCTTGCTTTTTCCACACGCTTCTTGCGACCCTGTTGACTGTTTTGAATGAAACGCTTGATTGTTCGATGATCACGCTTCAGAAGCTTTGCAATTTTGAGACTGCTGCATCCCTCTGCAAGATATCTCACTATTTTTGACTTTTCTGAGCCTGTCAAGTCCTTCTTTTGACCCATTTTGCCAAAGGAAAGGACGTTGCCTAATAATTATGCACACCTGATATAGGGTGTTGATGTCATTAGACCACACTCCTTCTCATTACAGACATGCACATCACCTAATATGCTTAATTGGTAGTAGTCTTTCGAGGCTATACAGCTTGGAGTAAGACAACATGCATGAAGAGGATGATGTGGACAAAATACTCATTTGCCTAATAATTCTGCACTCCCTGTAGTGTTACATCATATTTTATAAGGATGTTCTGTGTTTGTAGACTTTCTACCCAGTTTGACCCATTTAGCAGACGTCAGCCTGTTTAAGGCTCTGATATCTATTCTGTATGACTTAAAGCAGTTATGACATGGTCTGATTTTCTTACCCAATAAAGGAATATTTCATATATCACTCTACTCTTCATTCTATCAGAAACAGTTATCACAGCTCGTACATTTGCTTTTTACACATATATGTAAGCATTGAGCCAAATTTAGTAATGCCAACATACTGAAGGAACAATATTTGTCTCTTATATATAATACATCTGTATATACACTGTCACAGATACTCGTCTTTGAGTGAAGATTTAAGGTGATAGGAAATATAAATAACTGCAACTTGAATCTTTGACACACAGTTCAAGCTCACTGCTGTGATATATCATAATAATCTGACAATATATATAATATTGGCCATATTATATTTACATTACGAAAGTGATATGACTTTAGTCTCATGAACAACATCAGCTAATTGTTATTTACTAACTAATCTTAAATGACTGTTCAGTACAGAAATGAAGCCCAAAAATCATGTTTTACTGTCCTGTGGTCTCAGCCTCAGATACTTATCACACAAAGCTCGTGTAGAAACAAATGTACAAAATATGTTCTCCATCATTTCTGTCAAACAAAGCTGTATGAAACGTTTCCAGCTGTTAGTATCATGGTTGCTAGGCAACCTGGGCAGCGCGACGGAGGCTAGACTGCCCATTTCACAAGCCTACAAGCCTCGCACTTCTGGCCTCAGCGGTCTTTGAGTACGCGGCCCTTGAGGATCGTTGAGGCTGCGGCCTTTAAGGCTGCAGACCCTGAATTGTGATACAGCCACTAACACAAGACTGTCAAAGTTAAACAGGAAATAAGCGAACATAGAAACCAGGGTAACCAGACATAACACAAGGAATTCAGAGGAGGCACAGTAACAAAAACTAAAGCTTAGAAATCACAAAATACAAAAGCTAACCTAGGGAGCTACAAATACAAGAGACTCAACCATGAGAACCACCAAAAATAGAGAATATTAATTGTAAGCTGTATGTCTGGTTTTTTCTTTGCGCCCTCTGGTGGTGAATTGTTGTCGCGAAATCGATCAATGTAGAGCAGTGTCACAAACCACGGAAGCCCCAGAAAAGTGCAATCAAACGATGAGTTTATTAACAGCCCGGAGAAAACATCAACATATGTCTTCTGACCAAAATACATGTTGTGGACACTTATAAAGCAGTGGGGTACACGCCCCCCCCCCCCCCCCCCCCATGGCGTCAATGACAGATTAAAATAGGTTCCAGACCTTAGTCACAGTTAATCGTACATCTGGTACATCTTTAATAGCTATAAACAGACATAGAACTTCTCATTTTGATAACACCTTCCATACAAGGTAATAATCTTCAAGCCCTCAGGGTCTCTGAGGCTAATT